TTTCTTCATGTATGATGTTCTTGATGCCATCCCACAACTCAACTAATCTTTGGTCTCTGGTATTCAAAACATCAAATCTATTCTTTTTATGGTCTCTAAATTCAGGAGGGATGTAATCAAGGTCCTATTTTTGCTCTCATGGACTTGTTTTAAATTTCTTCAACTTCAATTTGTACAGGAGCAATTGATGGTCAGTTCCATAGTCAGGCCCTGGTCTTGTTCTGACCGATAATACTGAGGGCTTCTCCATCACCTTCTTCCATAGATGTAGTTCAATTTGATTCCTGTATAGTCCATCTGGCACAGTCCATGTGTGTAGTAGCTGTTTATGTTGTGGAAAAAGGTATCTGGTAGAGCTATAATGGTATGCTTCACTACCATATACTGTATTTCACATAGAAATAGTTTTATAACAAATAATTTTCAGCTTTTAAAATTTTTAAATTAGTTTTTAAAGTAATACATGCACACAGTTAAAAAAAAAAAAAAACCTTCACACAATAAAGAATATGCAATAAGAAGTGAAAGTATCCTTTCTCCCATACTATTCCTACTAGGTTCACTATTAATGAATCAAAATATTTTAAATGTATGAGGGAGGTGTCAGTATTACCAGCACCTGCATTATTGTAAAAGAAAATTTTACCATGCAAATAATCCTCTATTACAATTACCTGATTATGTTCTTATATGCTATAAATGGTTTAATAAGTATTGCATTCTTATTCTACTGGCCCATTCTAAAGATTGCTGAGATATTCCTGCATATTGCAAAACAAGCAGCACTGGCATCAAGTTTGTTTGGGAAACATGATAAGAAGGCCTTTAGAACTCCTAGCTCATAAGATCATTTCAATATACATCCCTTGGCCACATACTGTCTTCCTGAGCCTCAAGTAAGAAAGTTCTAAAATCAACCATGCATTTCTAGCAAATTAAATTTTCTTGAACGCCCCATGCCTATGTGTCATATAGACCAGAATTCATCAGAATTGATCAATAGTTAATTTATGGTTCAATATTTATTCTTTTATTACAATTATTCTATTTAAACTATAGCAATATAAATATGAGCAATCTGGATATCAAGCTCCATTGGCATAACATACTACACAAAACACTGTTCCATGTCCTACTTTGGCAACTAGGATCTTGAATGCTTGCAAGTGGCTATCTAGATGCAATGATGGGTCTCTCCTTCTCCAGAGCAAAGAAGAATGAAGAAAACCAAAGATGCATGGAAACAATTAGTCCAAAAAACCGGTACCCCATGCAATACTCAGTCTATATGACTATGAGACCAGAAGAACTATATGGTGCCCAGCTACCACTGTCAACCACTCAGAGGGTGAATCTATGTAGGAGATCCTGGATAGAGTGGGAGAACAATGTGGAACAAAACTCAAAATAATTTACTAAAAAAAAAGGCAGGGCAGGGAGGGAAGACCAGGTTTGCTGGTCTGATAGATTGTGATGGAACCACTGAGACTATGGCCCCAAGCTGCCCTTCAGGTCTGGAATTGAACCCACACCTGTGGCTTCTAGCCAAGCAAAAGACAGGCATAGGAGCTGAATATTTACCTGAGGTAGATACACTCCTTGGAGAGAACAATCATGGGAGAAAAAAGGGCTGTTTATGTACAGGAGACAGCTCAGGGGGCAGGAGTACATGAAGGAAAGGACACGGGGAAGAAGTAACTATGGGGAGGAATTGGGAGGGGAACTGTTGCATTGTGGTAAATTGTAGTCAATGTCATGAGATAAAGTGTACGTGAACTGCTGAATGGAAAGTAAATTTTCTCTGTAAACTTTCACCCAAATCACAATTTAAAAAAAAAAAAAAAAAATCTGTTGAATCTGTTGAACACTTTCAAAAGTATGCTATTTTCACATAGCCTGACTAGTTACAAATATATTCAGGCTCTTAGATAGTTTGCCTTAGAAGCTTTAAACCAGCTCCATAAAGTTAAAGTCTAAGGAAGGCCTGTCCCAGAGAGCTAGAATTATAAAATTTAAACTGTTTTTCACAGACTTGAAGTAAAAGATATTTTGAAATAAGTTTTTGAATTACAAGTAGTATATGAGCATGCACTTATAAAAATTTTTGTATGTTTTATAGCAACTAAATATTTGTTGCTTTTATTAACAACCCCCCAACACAAACACACACTCACACACACACACACACAAAGGTACTCTGGCGCGCGCACACACACACACACACAAAGGTACTCTGGAAAGGAAAATAACTACTTTGCAAAACATTTACTCCTGGACATCATACATCATATAATAAAAAAATAAAGCTTGGTTATATTTAAAGTTTCCATATGTTAACAAAATAGAAATTGCTTATGTACACAAATGTAACTACAAAGTCACTATAGAGCAGAAACATGTATACCTTTTTGAAACCTGGAGTAACTTGGCAATCTTTTTTTAGAAGTCAATACATTTTGTAACTTAGACTCAAACATTTCATTTCCCAGGTGTTCTCCACATTGTGAAATCCAATTACTGATTCTCAGTCCTCATCTTAGCCTCCCAGAGATACCACTTATTGTTGGTGTTCTTCCTTCCTCACTGGTCCTGTTTCCTTCATAATCTCCTTTGCAAATGTTCCCCTTCATCATAACCTCTACAAAGTTAGCTTGCTTAAGGGTTTAGTCCTTGAACCTCTTTTCTTCTCTCTATTTTAGTCCCTGGGCAATCACATGCTATTTAGACTTTGTGTGACATACACACCAATAAAGTCTATATTTCTGTCTCAAGCCTGACCCTTCTTCCTTGTATTCTAGACTCATATCCAGCTACCTATCTGAAATCTCTACTTGGCTATCTAATAAGCTTCTCAACATTACCAAACTCTATATTCTATATAAACTCCTATAAACCTACTCCCCATCTCCAACTTTGTCTCCGCACCATCAATATAAAGACAATTCCATCCTCTGAGTTACTCAAGGCAAAATTAAGAGTTATCTTTGACTCTTCTATCTTGTTAGTTCTGTCTTTATATCAATGAACACACTTCTTTTCATCACCCCCATTTCCACTTCCAAGCTCAAGCAGTCATGACATCTCCTTTCCATGCTGTATTAATAAGCCTCTTAAACTGGATTCTTTGTTCGCACACAGCATCAGGGCAATCTTTTGAAAGCGTAAACTGCATAATGTCACTCTTCTGCTCAAAACTTCTCATGATTTGCCATTGCAGAATATAAACTGAAATCCTTATAATAATCTACAGAGCTTCGACATGATCTAGCCCCCAGTTGCCAAACTCATCTACCTCTTACATAAGCCACTCCACCTGCACTGGTTTCCTAGCTTTTCCTCAAACACACTAAGCATATTCCTGCCTTTGTGCTTGCTGTTGCTCAGCCTAAACCTTTCTTACTCTCTCAGTTCACTGAGGCTCAACTATTGCCTAATCAGAGATGCCTTTCCTTACTATGTAATGTAAAATAGTAACTCCTTACCCATACTGTCTCTCTCTATCCTCCTCCTTCCTGCCATATTTTTCTTAATATCCATCAGAACATGATATAGAATATAATCATTTGTTTACTGCCTGTCTTCCCCAAGTACTAAAATGTAAGCACCACACAAGTAGAAACTTTGATTTATTCAAAAAGCAGCACTAAGAAGAGCACTTTGCATCAACCTGGTACATATTGGCTGGATGAATAAAGACATTAATAGCAAAGCATTGTGCTAAATGTTTTATATACATTCTCTCATTTAATCCTTTTTAAAAAAAACTGTAAGGAGTTATTATTATTATTCCAACTTTACCAATGAGGAGATGAAGGCACAAGATATTAAATAACATTTATGTCACCACGCAGCTTGTAAGTGGTAGAGTCAGGTTCCTGCATCTATCAAGTAAGATCATACAAATGAAGTTTTTAACAAAATGTGTAGTACATAAAATAGCTCATATTTATGGAATACATATTATGTGCCAAACATTACTCTAAGCTCTGTAAGTGTATTTATTCATCCAATTCCCCCATTAATTCCTTAAGAAGTGGTTACTAATATTATTTATTTATTTCTATCTCAAGCCTGACCCTTCTTCCCTGTATTCTAGACTCATAGCCAGCTACGTATCTGAAATCTCTACTTGGCTATCTATTAACCATCTCAACATTAACATTTACTCGTAACATTAACATTAATCCATGGAAGTAGATTGACCAGTCTTCTTTCCAAGGAGCAGCTGGTGGGTTTGAACCGCCAGCCTTCTGGTTAGCAGTCAAATGCTACCAGAGCTCCTATTTATTATTATTATTTATTAGAGGACCAACCTTAATTCAACAGAAGTCACATAAAAGATGCTGCTGTGAGATAAATGTAACAACCTCCAAACTTTACTCTTTTCAGAAAACATTTAACATAATGTAATGATGTGTTTTGAAGGTTAGCACCGCAAATCAAAATGAACTAAACTCATATACACAAACACATGTCATTAACTATGTATATGCTGGCTTGTAGTGAAAGCTAAAAATTGAAGGATCTTAACACCCAAAGGCAAAATAATCATAGATTTTTCTCATTTAAATAACATATCTACTCCTCCCCAAATATCTGGTTACTACAACACTCCATTTTGTACCATATTATGTTTAACATGTCTTTTTCATTATAAACTAAAATTTATCCAGATTAAATAGATCTTTTTAATGGTTAAAATATAATTTATTTATACCAATTATTACTGAAATCATCAAGTTTAACTAATCTAAATAACACTTTGCTTTAAGTCAACTCTATTATCAAAAATAACCTTTGGAATTACTTCATCTGAGGAAATAAAGTAACAAATTTCTTTTTTCTTAAGTTAAAGTGAAAGCCACTGTATTTAAGAAAATTACTGACTATAATTTCTTCAGCTCAATATGGCATTTGGTTTTTAAAGTTCAATCTGTAGATGCTCATTCTTCATTAATAATCATCATGAAAGATTCCAGTTAAAGATTCTTAAAACTTACGGTGCAATAATGGCTCTGGCAGGTCTTTTTGTAGACTGTACTTGTGAAAGCCAACCTTCTAGCTGTGCATTCAGCTGAGGTCCTATAAAAACAGAACGGGGAAGTCAGCAAAGCAATGTGCTATAACAATACACAGCACAAAGCCCTCACTGAACCTAAGTGAGATTAAAATAACTTAATGGGAAGTGGAATCATCAATTAGGATATTGATGTTTGAACTACAAGGTCTATAGCAAGCCATAAGATAAGGCATCATACTGATTAAACAACATTTGCTTTTACCCATTTACTTATTTACTACCATCTTTATTCCAGAACAACATCATCTACAATTTGAGGCAGCATCTAAACAAAATAGAAAGCAAAAGACTGTAAGCATAGGATAAGAAAAAAACTGAGTATATTTTAAAGACCCTTAATTAATCACTAAAATCACATCCATGGAGATGGTCACTCCCACACCCAATGACCTTTTTATTCCAACCCACTTTAGCATTCTACTCCTCTCATTACCGTATCAACTACCAATAACTATATCACCTCAAAACTCTCAATTTGAAACATCCCACTCTCTTCACTTCTATGTTTCTAGTTCATTTCCAGAAATGAGCTGACTGAAGGCCACACCATTTCTTACACTGTTCTTCATCTTCTACCTTTTCTTCATTTATCATGCAGTCTAAGACTCTGTAATCCATGACTAGAATCATTCCCTTGTGTAAGTCGAACAGTAGTTCAAACCAACTTGACACTTAACCCACTGTCCCCACCTAAAAAGGTGAGAGGAAACGAAGAGGAACACAACCATACAAATTAGTCTCACTTTGAAATTACAACCATAAATTTCAGAAGACCTCTAGCAATGCTCAAAGCTACTATCACATTATTCTAGTCATTTTCTTCTCCCACTTTTAAGATGGAGATTTATCACACAACTCCTCCTTTCACCTTAAAGCTCAAATACCTCCCTTACCCCCTTCTGACTCCCAGCAGATGATAGTGTTGCTATTTGTTTGTTTTTTTAAAATCAATGAAAACTGGGACCTTTCCAGTTTTAGCACTGGAAATCCTGCATCCTAGATACCCTCAGTCCTAGGCAAACCTGGACATTACTCGCCCTAAATTCAAAACAGAACTATGTCATTTTCACAATACTTATTCTGCTTTCCCTCCTGTTTCAAAACAATGTCTGTTTCTATCAAAAGCTACACACTCCACTTCAACACAGGATCCCATTCTGCTTTTTTACTAAAGCACACAGCTCCTGAAATGACTTACTTCTTTTACTTGATCACTACCATTAGCATGCAATTATTTGTACTAATACAAATGGTATTTTTCTCCAAAGATCACTCCTTTTCCTATCACCTTTATAACACAAAGAAGTTGAAGAGATGTCAATAATCCTTACCCTCTCTTCCCTCATCACCCATTCTTTTATTCATGAAATATTTAAAAATAAGAAAAGAATCAACACAATAATAGAACAAACAACTATGTACCCCCTTGCTGATCTCATTATACACATCCCTCCACAGAAGTACCACTTTCTCATTTTGGTGTTTATCATTGCATTATACATTTACTGTATATGTATCCACAATTTCATTTTATTTGAACCCACAATCAACATTTATGGAAGCAGCAGTCAAGAAATCAAACATCATATTGCACTGGGCAAATCTGCTGCAAAAGACCTCTTTAAAGTGTTGAAGAGCAGAGAGGTCAGCTTGAAGAATAAGGTGTCTGTCTGATAGAGTAGTGCCTAAGGCACTTACTTGACTGCTAACCAGAAGGCTGGTGATTCAAAGGTTGGGCAATCTACTTCCTAGTGATACCGCCTTAGAAATCTAAGGAGGGGTCACTATGAGTTGGGTCCAACTTGATGGCAAGTAACAACAACAACAAACAACCCAGGCCATGGTATTTTCAATTGCCTCATATGCATATGAAAGGTGGACAATGAATAAAGAAGACTGAAGAAAAGGTGACGCCTTAGAATTGTGTTGTTGGCAAAAAATACTGAAAATAGCTCTGGTAGCATAGTGGCTAAGGCACTTGACTGCTAACCAGAAGGCTGGCGGTTCAAACCCACCAGCCATTCCTCGGAAGGAAGGTTGGGCAATCCTACTTCCGTAGTGATACTGCCTCGGAAACCCAAGGAGGGGTCGCTATGAGTCAGGGCTGACTCGAC